CACCAACTCGTCATAGTCCCACTTTTAAAATCGAATTGCACTTTCGAATAGGTCAATGAAAAACCAGTTGTTTGATATTCGTTTAAATGACAAACTGATACCCGTGTTCTCAGCTTGCCAGGGAGCTAAAATGTCCTCTTGTTTTCCAAAAATTACTCGAGCTCGAGCAATCGAAGTTATGCTTTCCACGAAAATATGAAATACCTGGAACAAACTCGAGTGAGGTGCCATACTGCTACCGGCTAGCAAGGGCGGGGAGGGGACTCAGTGTTATTTCTGAGAATCGCTTGAAAGAATATTCACCGCTTTCTTCATTCCTTGCCGTGTGGCTTTAATGAAGTACTGTCTAAACAAATAGATAAATGTTTTCCCACTGTTACATTTCGACCAATGAAGTAAGTCTAAGATAGCCCATTTCACGCCTACAGTTGGATAGGCACTCACTCCGAGTCTCTAGATCAGCTGCTTTTTCACCACCGTATTTCTTCTAGCAGAAACATTTAGCCAGTTAGTATGGGTATCTTATGCTGGTGATATTACTAGAATGCTTGTTTTTGCTGGACACAGCTACACCAGGTCCTTTTATCCTACCGCGTACCTCCCACTCGGAATACATTGTACGTTTGATAATGCACGCCACTTCTTCGGGAGCCGTCTGGTTGTTCGTAACGAATTATGCATAAAATATCGTAATGCATAAAATAGAACATATTTTCTCCGGAAGGAACAGGGAAGCTACATAGGCCAGCGGTCACAATTTCATGTCCATTCGCGAAATCTGCTTCTCCTTGTCTCTCCATGGCAACTAGTCGATTTAGCTGTATGAGCCACAAGCTCTGCGCCGTCCACTGACAGTGAGACATGGAACAGCTTGATGTTTCATGGCAACGAAACTGCTAGCAGATTTGGAGCACATGTCAACGATCGCTCCTCTTCTATGGAAAAGGAAAATTTCGCTCAAGACTTGGATCAATCTAAGATAGTGTTAATCAACAAACCGAAGAAAATTTCGAATATTTTGACCCTCCTGATGATAGCTCTAAATCAAAATGCCCGCTCATTCTAAAGCGTAAAAACTTCGCATCAGGCGATTTTTGAGTTCAAATCAATGGTTCCGGTTACTTTTGCTTTAATTTTTCTTCTGTACAAACGCGTTCTAACCGAAGTTTGCATCAAATCTGTTTTTTTACATTCGTTGGAGCCGCTGAATCCATCCAGCAAGCTATTCTGCGTAGTTCGCAGAAACGGTTAGTTTCTGCTGTTATCTTTGCATAAAAATTACAATTTTCCTAACAACGCTTCCTGGAAAATTTTAACCCAAAGCTCTTCTGGTAATACTTTGAAAACTGATACTTTTTTATTCGCTCACATAAGCGTGGTACTGGAAAAATCGTTTTTCTCAGTGAAATAATCTGTTCTTTCTCTATCCCCTGTCCAAATACATTGCTCCTAGTTACTTTGGAACAAATGTCACTGTGAAATGAACACGAAAGCATTTTACTGATTTTTCGGACACGTCCAATAGCAAATGAAGAGGGGCAAATATCCGAGACGAATGCTTCCGTCGGAAGAATCGCTGAGTTGGTATTCACTACAGACGTAAAAGTCAACGTTAGGTTCTCCAGGCTGTGCGCGACCATCAGGCGATTTGCGCAACCATTCAGGGAAACCGAAAAAGTTATCAAGCTCTGAATTATAGCTGATCGAAATAGCAAAATATTAATCTATCTCTTCATATCAAACAAAAACTTAATATTAAGCAAAATATTGAACTTTAACAAAATAATAAACTTTGTAAAAATCGCTTGAATTCTGACAACTTTGATGAAAAAATGCCAGAGAAATTCAGTCAGTTTAACAACGGTTTCTGTTAAAGAAAACGTGCTCGGTGTTTCGAATAACGCGTTTATCACATCAAGTCGTTTTGAGAAATATGTCCCAGCGCGATATACTCCTGTTTCTTCATCACAGGTACCATTTTGCATCTTTTGCAGATCCTATATAGGAAAGTTCTAATTCTTCTCACTTGTAAGACTTTGTGGTCCCTGTATAACTTTTATAAAAGCATAGTCGATGCAGTTTAATGGCCTTTGAGGCGTACTAGAGAGCTGAATTTGAATTTGCGGGGTCGTACGTCGGCAGGGGGCATCGCTGGTGCGGCCCGTTTCAGTTCAGCAGATTGTTTTTCCCGTCAAGCTGCCCTATTATTTTTATTAGAATAGTTTTAAAAATGGTTGAACCGAGCAAAGCTCTTTACTGTTTTCTTATGCGTAACAGAGGACATTATATGCTCCTACAGTACTTCAGGTTGGTACAATCGAAATCTTGGACGACGACAATGATCAAGCAGTGGTGGCATTTCAGTATCCAGTTTCAGTGCTATCGGATCAGTGCAGCGGTACTGCACCACTTTGTTAGTCTTTTTGAAGTGAATTATTCATTTCAGATATATGAATATCAGGAGCTACAAATACAAGTTTTCGCCGGAGCACATTTTTGATGGTTACAGTTTATTGCAGATTTGTTTTTTTTTCTATTAATTCGAAAAAGCATTGTGGAGGTTATGTTTATCTGCCCTGTCCACCTGTTCATGTGCATATGCTTATATATGTGTGCATGTGTTTCTGTTTATGTATGTGCATCTGTCAGAGTAATTTTTTTAAATTAATCTATTATTTTACAATTTTGATAATTTTTAGCTTATTCCGAAAATATTAGCACGATTTGTTATCCGTCATGGCCTTCATTCGACGAAGTTCAGTGTAAAAAGTTAAAATACCTCAACGCCAGTTATTACTTGCACAAATATATCATTCAGGTAAGATTAGCTTTGACTAAATGCAAACCTAATTTCGCAAAAAATTTTTCCTTTGTTTTTTTAGGTCGGAAGATAGATGTGTAAAACACCCTTTTTTCCTATTGTGCATCTGAAGCCAAAAATAGCGTAGAGCAGCTGTTGTTACTTTGAAAGAGTTAAAATCCCCACCAAATTCCACTTAAGCAATCCTCTGAAAAAGGCCATCGATACTTTTTTTGTGAATGCCTTAGTGTCTCCTAGCGATAAAGACGAAGGCTGTTTTAACTCCAATTTTTGAGGATTGCTGTGATTTTCCGAATATTTAAAGAAAAGTGCGCAAGTTAAAGTGAGAAATCCTCTTTTCGACTTTTTTCTAAGTCCCTCCAGGTTATGAAGTATCTTTCACAAAGTTTCAAAAGAAATTTGGGAAATAATTGTATTTTTCAAAATATGGCTGACGGAAAAAGTCTTGTAGCCCAAAAGCGATATCTGATTAAAAATATGATTTTGACTAATTATTTTTTTGAAAACTCTTAAAATCACTAATATTTTTAAGAAAGACGGAAACAAGACAGTTGTTGCAATGGAAGCTACACCGGAAACAAATCCCTCAATCCGTTGGTCGAGGTGGGATGGAACAGCATGTACAAATGCAGTGATAAAAGTAATGAATCTTGACAGTTTTCAAGTAACTTTGTAATGGTGAAGTCTAGTAGTCTAGAGCCAAGAAAGTTGAACATTTGTAGCTTGGTCAAGTTCAGTTTGTAGCTAATTCTTTTGGCTGGCAAAATGACATTTCCATCAGAAAGATATTCTCATCTTTTATTTCATTTTTTCCCGTTTTTCAGTCTACTGCCTGCTTTACTGTGAAATTATTTTCAACTGCGCAAAGTTGTTTTTTAAGATCTGAAATAGTTCTGTTGTCTTCTTTTGCTTTATCTCCTGAATTCTAATCATCTCTCATCTCTCTTCTAGGCTCTTTGCACAGAATCTTATGTTCCATAGCTGTCATTCTT